CTTTAATCCATTTTGAGTGTATTTTTGTGTATGGTGTTAGAAAGTGTTCTAGTTTCATTCTTTTACAGGTGGTTGACCAGTTTTCCCAGCACCACTTGTTAAAGAGATGGTCTTTTTTCCATTGTATCTCCTTGCCTCCTTTGTTGAAGATAAGGTGTCCATAGGTTTGTGGATTTATCTCTGGGCTTTCTATTCTGTTCCATTGATCTATATTTCTGTCTTTGTGCCAGTACCATACTGTCTTGATGACTGGCTTTGTAGTATAGTCTGAAGTCAGTCAGGTTGATTCCTCCAGTTCCATTCTTCTTTCTCAAGATTACTTTGGCTATTTGAGGTTTTTTGTATTTCCATACAAATTGTGAAATTATTTGTTCTAGTTCAGTGAAAAATACCATTGGTAGCTTGATAGGGATTGCATTGAATCTATAGATTGCTTTGGGTAGTATAGCCATTTTGACAATATTGATTCTTCCAGTCTATGAACACGGTATATTTCTCCATCTGTTTGTGTCCTCTTTGATTTCTTTCATCAGTGTTTTATAGTTTTCTATGTATAGGTCTTTTGTTTCTTTAGGTAGATATACTCCTAAGTATTTTATTCTTTTTGTTGCAATGGTGAATGATATTGTTTCCTTAATTTCTCTTTCTGTTTTCTCATTGTTAGTGTATAGGAATGCAAGGGATTTCTGCGTATTAATTTTATATCCTGCAACTTTACTATAGTCATTGATTAGCTCTAGTAATTTTCTGGTAGAGTCTTTAGGGTTTTCTATGTAGAGGATCATGTCATCTGCAAACAGCGAGAGTTTCACGTCTTCTTTTCCTATCTGGACTCTTTTTACTTCTTTTTCTGCTCTGATTGCTGTGGCCAACACTTCCAAAACTATGTTGAATAGTAGTGGTGAGAGTGGGCACCCTTGTCTTGTTCCTGATTTTAGGGGAATGCTTTCAATTTTTCACCATTGAGGATAATGCTTGCTGTGGGTTTGTATAGCTTTTATTATGTTGAGGTATGTTCCTTCTATTCCTGCTTTCTGGAGAGTTTTAATCATAAATGGATGTTGAATTTTGTCAAAAGCTTTTTCTGCATCTTTTTCTGCATGGCTTTTATCTTTCAATTTGTTAATGTGGTGTATTACATTGATTGATTTGAGGATATTAAAGAATCCTTGCGTTCCTGGGATAAAGCCCACTTGGTCATGATGTATGATTTTTTTAATATGTTGTTGGATTCTGTTTGCTAGACTTTTGTTAAGGATTTTTGAATCTATGTTCATCAGTGATTTTAGCCTGTAGTTTTCTTTTTTGTGGCATCTTTGTCTGGTTTTGGAATTAGGGTGATGGTGGCCTCATAGAATGAGTTTGGAAGTTTACCTTTTTCCGTCCCCTCACTTTCAGTCAGTGTGCATCTTTAGCTTTGAAGTGAGTCTCCTGTAAGCATTATATAGATGGATCTTATTATTATTTTTTAATCCGATTAGCCACTCTGTCTTTTGATTGGAGCATTTAGTCCATTGATATTTAAAGTGATTATTGATAGGTATGTACTCATTGACATTTTACTATGTGTTTCCCAGTTTTTTGTTTTTTTTGTTTTCATTTATTTTTATTAGTTGGAGGCTAATTACTTTACATCATTGCAGTGGTTTTTGTCATACATTGACATGAATTAGCCATGGATTTACATGTATTCCCCATCCCGGTCCCCCCTCCCACCTCCCTCTCCACCCGATCCCTCTGGGTCTTCCCAGTGCACCAGGCCCGAGCACTTGTCTCATGCACCCAACCTGGGCTGGTGATCTGTTTCACCCTAGATAATATACATGTTTCGATGCTGTTCTCTTGAAATATCCCACCCTCGCCTTCTCCCAGAGTCCACAAGTCTGTTCTATACATAGGAGTCTCTTTTTCTGTTTTGCATATAGGGTTATCGTTACCATCTTTCTAAATTCCATATATATGTGTTAGTATACTGTAATGGTCTTTATCTTTCTGGCTTACTTCGCTCTGTATAATGGGCTCCAGTTTCATCCATCTCATTAGAACTGATTCAAATGAATTCTTTTTAATGGCTGAGTAATATTCCATGGTGTATATGTACCACAGCTTCCTCATCCATTCGTCTGCTGATGGGCATCTAGATTGCTTCCATGTCCTGGCTCCAGTTGTTTTTTAAAATACTTTTCCTTGTACTTCTTTTGGTTTCTTTCCTTGTAGTTTGATGATTTTCTTTAGTGGTATGCTTGTGTTCCTTTCTCTTTAGTTTTTGTGCAGCTATTGTAGGTTTTTGATTTGTGATTTCAATGGAATTCATATATGTTGACATAAAACTACATCTAGTTGTTTTAAACACTTAGTCCTTAAAGTTTAAACACACTCTAGAAACTCTCACAGAGAGTTCCAAATGAGATGAACCCAAACAGACCCATGCCAAGAGTAAACTCTGCATGTTTTACTCTCCTCCCCCTCACTTATGTATTTGGTATTATACTGTACACTTAATGTTTATCCTTTTACTGATTATTGTAGTAATAGTTGATTTTACAGTTTTTTGCATTTTAATCTTCCTAGTAGCTTATTTAAGAAATTTATCTTTAGACTTAACTATATTTTTGCCTGAACTAGTGTTTTTCTTCCTTTCCTATAGATTCTTTTTTTTCCCTAGCTTTTCCACCTCTTATACAAGATCCTTTAAAATTTATTTCATGGTAGATTTAGTATCAATAACCTCTTTTAGTTTTTGCTTGTCTGAGAATTTCTTTATCTCTTCTTCTATTCCAAATGATAATCTTTCTAGGCAGAGTGTCCTTGGTTGTAGGGTTTTCCCTTTCAGCACTTTGAATATATCATGTCACTCCTTATGGCCTTCAAAGTTTTTGCCTTAAAGTCATCTGAAAGCCTTGTGGGTTTTTCTTTTTATATGATTCTTTGGTTTTCTCTTGTTGCCTTTAGAATTCTCTCTTTAGCTTTTGCCGTTCTATTTAAGGTGTCTTGGCACGGGTCTGTTTGGATTCATCTTGTTTGGAACGCTCTGTGCTTTCTGAACTTGGTTATCTTCCTTCTTCAGGTTTGTGAATTTTTCAGTCAAACTTTCATCAAATACATTTTCAACCCCTTTATCTTCCTCTTCTTCTGGGACATCTATCATGTTCACATTGGTTTGCTTGATGTTGTTTCATAGATCCATTTTCATGTTTAAAAATATATTTTTCTTTTTGCTGCTCTGGTTGAACAATTTCCATTATTCAGATTAGGTATACATTCTTCTGTATCAATTAGCCTGTTATTAATTCCTTCTAGTGTGTTTTTCATTTAAGTTATTGTATTCTTTAGTTGTGACTGGTTTTTATATTTTCTAGTTCTTTAAAATTCTCGATTGTATTCATCTATCCTTTTCTGTAATTAAGCTAGCATGTTTATTGCTAGTGCTTTGAATTCTTTATCTGGAAAATGGTTTATTTCTGTTTCATTAGTTGCTTTTCAGGGATTTTCTCTTGTTCTTTCAAATGGGCCAGATCTCTCTGTCTTATTTTATGTAATTTTCTCTTTCTCTATGAAATTAGCTGAAACAGTCACTTCGTATGGTTTTAATGCATTATGTGGGAACATCCCTATACAATCAGCATGTGTTCAATGGCTTTGGTGGGAGAGCTGGATTTAATGTGAGCAGGAGTCGCATTTTACCTCAAGGTGTGCCAGCAGCTATCATCTTGGTAGGAGGTGGTGCTGGAGATGGAGGGGTTAGAGATGGAGCCAGATGTGAGCCAGGCCTTACTCTCTATTCAGTGGCTATCACTACCCTATTGTGGGTGGGAATGGGTTCCAAGTTGCTGGAGCAGAATCTCTAGGGGTCAGGTTCAAGCCATAGGACAGGCACAGTCCACATGGCCTCCCAACATCGGTTGTGCTCTGGGCTGTTGCAGTCTAGCTTCAGACAGAGATGTGCTGCCTAAGTGCCAGTAATGGCTTCCACTGCCTTGCTCAGCACTGCTTTGGGTCAGAGCCACCTCTGTTTTCTTGCAGTCATGCTTATAAGTGGGGCTGAAATGTGTGCTCAGCTCAGGCTGGGGCACATATCAGAGCAGTCATGGGAAACCGGCCACTTATGCAATTTTCAGTCCATGCTCTCTGTCCTGCTTCAGGAGCAAGCAAGCATATGCAGACCCCTTACAAGCAGAGTCCAGGCTTCCTCAGACTTCCAGTCTTCCTGTTAATACCTCTGGCCCTCTAAGCAGTCAAGGGGGCTCATATTCACTGTGTGGACCCCCAGGGTGGAGGTGCCCAATATGTGGCTCAAACTACTCACTCTTCAGGGAGGGTCTCCACATGTGCATGCTCCCTTTTCCAAAGCACAGGGCTCAACCTGATCACTTCCTTTCCCTTTGTACCCAATTTTGTGTGAATATTTCTTACAGCCTTGGTTGTACAGGAATCTTTGTGTAAGTCTACAGTTATTTTTCAGTAAGAATTGTTCTACATGTTGACTATTTTTGATGTGTTCATGGTGGGAGATGAGTTCTTTGTCCTCCAACTCAGGCATTCTTGGTCTAGTCTCCAAAAACAGTAAAATTTTAAACTTAATTTTGGTGTGAATATTAAAATCTCTGGGATTATACCTTGTTCTACTATCCTGAGTTATTCTGGGTTTGGGCCCCAGTTAGGTGTGTAGATATAATAAGGGATGGTGGGTGAGCTTTTTAAAGGAATATCCATTACTTGTAATGATCTTAGGTGAGATCATTATAGTTTCATCTGAGAGGAAGATAGTCTCAGATAGGGGAGGAAGGGCTGTTTCTATTGACATGAAAGGTTAATGGAGATTTAAGGGTTCAAAGTCCTAAGATTTTCCCAAGTTCTCTGTATTTTCCCACTTTAACTGTCAGTCATTACCAAGCCAATGCCCTAATTAGCACATAAGACACCTAGAGAAATCATGGACTTATAATTTTATTTGATATTATGCAATTAATAGAATCAGACTTTTGTTCTAGTATTAAGCTTCACTTAATATAAGATTTAAAATAAGATTTACTGAACATGGCCCTGCCCATCAGACAAGACCCAGTTTCCCTCACAGTCAGTCTCTCCCATCAGGAAACTTCCATAAGCCTCTTATCCTTACCCATCAGAGGACAGACAGAATGAAAACCACAATCACAGAAAACTAATCAAACGGATCACACGGTCCACAGCCTTGTCTAACAATGAAACTATGAGCCACGCAGTGTAGGGCCACTGAAGACAGATGGGTCATAGTGGAAATTTCTGACAAAATATGGCCCACTGGAGAAGGGAATGGCAAACCACTTCAGTATTCTTGCCTTGAGAACCCCATGAACAGTATGAAAAGACAAAAAGATATGACACTAAATGATGAACTCCCCAGGTTGGTAGATGCCCCATATGCTACTGGAGAAGAGTGGAGAAATAACTCCAGAAAGAATGAAGAGATGGAGCCAAAGCAAAACCAACACACAGTGTGGATGTGACTGGTGATGGAAGTAAAGTCCGATGCTGCAAAGAACAAAAATGCATAGGGATCTGAAATGTTAGGTCTGTGAATCAAGATAAACTGGAAGTGGTCAAACAGGAGATGGCAAGAGTGAACATTGACATTTTAGGAATCAGTGAACTAAAATGGACTGGAACAGGCAAATTTAACCCAGATGACCATTATATCTACTACTGTGGGAAAGAATCCCTTAGAAGAAATGGAGTAGCCCTCATAGTTGACAAGAGAGTGAAATGCAGTTCTTGGGTGCAATCTCAAAAATGACAAAATGGTCTCTGTTCATTTCCAAGGCATACCATTCAACATCATAGTAATCCAAGTCTATGCCCCAACCAGTAATGCTGAAGAAGCTGAATGATTCTATGGAGACCAATAAGACCTTCTAGAACTAACACCCAAAATAGATGTCCTCTTCATTATAGGGGATGGAATGCAAAAGTAGGAAGTCAAGAGGTCAAGAGATATCTGGAGTAACAATCAAAATTGGCCTTGGAGTACAAAATGAAGCAGGGCAAAGGGTAACAGAGTTTTACCAAGAGAATGCACTCATCATAGTAAACACCCTCTTCCAACAACACAAGAGAAGACTCTACACATGGACATCACCAGAGGGTCAATACTGAAATCAGATTGATTATATTCTTTGCAGCAAAGATGGAGAAGATCTATACAATCAGCAAAAACAAGACCAGGAGCTGACCATGGCTCAGATGCTAAATTCCTTATTGCAAAATTCAGACTTAAATTGAAGAAAGTAGGGAAAACTACTAGACAATTCAGGTATGACCTAAATCAAATCCCTTATGATTATACAGTGGAATGACAAATAGATTCAAGGGATTATATCTGATATACAGAGTACCTGAAGAACTATGGACAGAAGTTTGTAGCATTGTACAGGAGGCAGTGATCAAGACCATCCCCGAGAAAAAGAACTGCAAAAGGCAAAATAGTTGTCTGAGGAGGCCTTACAAATAGCTGAGAAAAGAAGAGAAGCTAAAGGCAAGGGAGAAAAGGAAAGGCATATCCATAACTTGTAGAGTTCCAAAGAATAGCAAGGAGTGATAAGAACGTTTTCCTCAGTGATCAATGCAAAGAAATAGAGGAAAGCAATAGAATAGGAAAGACTAGAGATTTCTTCAAGAAAATTAGAGATACCAAGGGAACATTTCATGCAAAGATGGGCACAATAAAGGACAGAAATGGTCTAGACCTAACAGAAGCAGAAGATATTAAGAAAAGGTGGCAAGAATACACAGAAGAACTATACAAAAAAGATCTTCATGATAACCACGATGATGTGATCACTCATCTTGAGCCAGACATCCTGGAATACAAAGTGATGTGGGCCTTTGGAAGCATCACTACAAACAAAGGTAGTGGAGGCAATGGAATTCCAGTTGAGCTATTTCAAATCCTAAAAGATAATGCTATGAAAGTGCTGCACTCAATATGCCAGTAAATTTGGAAAATTCAGCAGTGGTCACAGGACTGGAAAAGGTCAGTTTTCATTCCAATCCCCAAAAAAGGCAATGACAAAGAATGTTCAAACTACTACACAATTGCACTTATCCCACACGCTAGCAAAGTACTGCTCAAAATTCTCCAAGCCAGCTTCAACAGTACATGAACAGTGAAATTCCAGATGGATTTAGAAAAGGCAGAGGAACTAGAGATCAAATTTCCAACATCCGTTGGATCATTGAAAAAGCAAGAGAGTTCCAGAAAAACATCTACTTCTGCTTTATTGACTATGCCAAAGTCTTTGACTGTGTGGATCACAACAAAATGGAAAATTCTTCAAGAGACGGGAATACCAGACCACCTCACCTGTCTCCTGAGAAATCTGTATGTAGGTCAAAAAGCAACAGTTAGAACTGGACATGGAACAACAGACTGGTTCCAAATTGGGAAAGGAGTATGTCAAGGCTGCATATTGTCACCCTGCTTATTTAATTTATATGCAGAGTACCTCATGCAAAATGCCAGGCTGGATGAAGCACAAGCTGGAACCAAGATTGCTGGAGAAATACCAATAATCTCAGATATGCAGGTGACACCACCCTTATAGCAGAAAGCAAAGAGGAACTGAAGAGCCTCTTAATGAAGGTGAAAGAGGGGAGTGGAAAAAGTTGGCTAAAGCTCAACATTCAGAAAAGTAAGATTATGGCATCTGCTCCCATCACTTCATGGCAAATAGATGGGGAAACAGTGGAAGCAGTGGCAGAGTTTATTTTTTTGGGCTCCAAAATCACTGCAGATGGTGATTGTAGCCATGAAATTAAAAGGTGTTTACTCTTTGGAAGAAAAGTTATGACCAAGCTAGACAGCGTATTAAAAAGCAGAGACATTACTTTGCCAACAAAGGTCTGTCTAGTCAAGCCTATGTTTTTCCAGTAGTCATGTATGGATGTGAGAGCTGGACTATAAAGAAAGCTGAGCACCGAAGAATTGATGCTTTTGAACTGTGTTGGAGAAGACTCTTGAGAGTCCCTTGGACTGCAAGGAGATCAAACCAGTCCATCCTAAAGGAAATCAGTCCTGACTATTCTTTGGAAGGACTGATACTGAAACTCCAATACTTTGGCCACCTGATGCGAAGAACTGACTCATTTGAAAAGACCCTGATGCTGGTAATGATTGAAGGTGGGAGGAGAAGGGGACAACAGAGGTTGAGGTGGTTGGATGGCATCACCAACTCAATGGACATGAGTTTAAGTAAACTCTGGGAGTTGGTGATGGACAGGGAGGCCTGGCGTGCTGCAGTCCATGGGGTTTCAAAGAGTTGGACACAGCTGAGCAACTGAAGTGAAGTGAGACAGCATATTAAAAAGCAGAGACATTACTTTGCCAACAATGGTCCATCTAGACTGAGCAAAAGAACTGAATTGATATGTAGGAATTGAAGATCTGGATACAGACTTTCTAAAACTATCTATGTTATAAATACTTTGAATTTTTTTTTCAGATGGCTGCATACCCTAGTTTGAATACCATTGACCTCTAGAGAAAATATTGCCAAGGAACACACACTCCAATCAGCTTCCTCAGGGCACATTTGACCTCCTTGTTTCTCAAGCTGTAGACAATGGGGTTTAACATGGGAGTCATAACACAGAAGAGTACAGAGACTAGGATGTCCATATCTAGGGAGTAGCCTTCTCTGGGTCTGTCATAGTTGAAGTTGGCTGTTCCATAAAAAACCACCACCACAGTGAGGTGGGATGCACAGGTAGAAAAGGCCTTGCTCCTGCCCTGAGCAGAGGGGATCCTAAGGATGGCAGAGATGATGAGTATGTAGGACACAGCAGTGAAGAGGCAAGGGCTCAGGCCAATGAGAGCACTGGCCACATGGAGCACAGACTCATTGAGAGAGGTGTCAGAGCAGGAGAGCTTCAGGAGGAATGGGATGTCACAGAGAAAGTGACTGATCTGGTTGGATCCACACAGAGTGAGTGTGGCTGCCAGCACTGTGTGTGTCACAGAATTCACCAGCCCACATAGCCAGGACCCAGTCACCAAAAAAACACAGACCTTTACACTCATGAGCACTGGATATTGAAGAGGGTGGCAGATGGCTACATAGCGATCATAAGCCATGGCTGCCAGTAATACACCTTCAGCACCAGCACATGTCACGAGGAAAAAGATCTGGGAAAGGCAGCTGTCATAGGAGATGGTCTTCTTCTCCCGGAAGAAGTTCATTAGCGTAACTGGAATGGTGGTGGATGTGTAGCAGATGTCCAAGAAGCTCAAGTTGCTCAGAAAGTAATACATTGGAGTGTGGAGAGCAGAACTGATCCTGATAGATGTTATTATGAGCATGTTCCCAAGGAGGGTTGTCAGGTAAATGACCAGGAAGATCAGGAAGAACAAGCCCTGTAGGTTGGGATGGTTGGAAAATCCCAAGAAGATAAATTCAGTGACATCTGTTTGATTGTTCATTTCAAGTGGTATCATCACAGCTACAAAATAATGAAAAAAAAAAAAGCCGTAATGAGAAATGTACAAAGAGCACCCAGATTGACATGTCTTGAGGGAGACCATAAGTTCTCACTCAACACATCTGGCCAGCTCAGGCCCAGGGACAATTTTTCACATGGCTGCTGGTACATGAGAATACATGGAGATTTGGATTTGGTCTAAACCTACCACAAGCTGCTAGAGTAAGAGTGAGAGTTAGAGTAAGCTCATTTCTTAATGGTTCTGCAAAATCTTCCTCCTAACATTATACTTAGCTGCTTTAAATACTTTTTTGTAAATATTTTTAAGTAATAAATTTTCATTGTGGAAAGTTAAGAAAATGCAGAAAGATGCAGAGAAAAATAGAACCATCCACAGAATCAATGCTACCTTATAGAATATTCCATTTTCTATTCCATTTCTTTTTCTATATATGAATCTTGATTTCTATTGGCTTGAAATGTTAAAATGCATTATATTCTCTTATATAAATTAAGTGTAATTTCTTTCTTTGAGTGTCTAGTTTGCTTCTGTTCCTTCTGCTATTATAATATAGACACTAGCATGAACAATTTCATAAAGAGCAGATGTTCATCTGTGAACATCTCTCATTTCTTCAGAATAAAATTTTCTTTTTGGCATATTTTTAAATGAACTAATCTCATTTTTCTCAATAGGAACAATTATCTTTTAGGACTTATATTTTTAAAAGTAACCAATCACACACTTAGGTATTTTTCCTCACTAAGAGAATCCTTAGTATTCCAAAATTTAACCTCAGTTAAATATTACATGTTTTCTGAAAAGATAATTAATACAAGTACCAATTTTCTATTAAATCATCCATTTTAATCTCTGAACTATTGTTATGAACTTCAATTTCCATTTCATTTTCACTCTGGGAGGCAAGATAATGAAGAGTGAGCTCTTGAGACAGATAGATGTGAATTATAACCTTACATCTGCTGCTTACTAGATGCAGAGAGTGGATAAATTAACTGATCTCTCTTCCTTAGTTTCCTCATTTTTTTTCTGATATCAATAGTGCCTATCTCATGGTTGTTGGAGAAAGTAACATGAGTAAGTTATATGCCTAGCACTTATGTACTCAATACTCTTTATCAGGTTAGAAATTCCCTTCTATCTCTACTATATTGATCATTTCTATAATGATGGACATCAAATTTTGTTAAATAATTTTTCTGCCTCTTTTGAGATCATATATACATATTATATAAAATATTTAGTCTATTAATGTGGTAAATTATATTGACTGAATTTTTGAATGTTGAACTAGCCTTACATTCCTGAAATCAATCTCAATTGATTTTAATGTGTTATCCTTTCAATATATTAATGGATTCAGTTTGCTAATATTTTGTTGAGTTTTTTATCTATGTTCTGAGAAATGACATTGGTCTGTAGCTTTCTTGTAATTTCTTTCTCTAGTTTTGTTATCAGTTCTCAGGGTAATGCTAGCCTTATTGGATGTATTGGAAAGTGTCTCTCCTTTTTAATTTTCTGAGAGAGAGTGTATAGAATTGGTATTATTTCTTCCTTAAATGCCTGGTCAAATTCAACAATGAAACCATATGTCCCTGGGTTTTTAATTTTTGTTTGGTTTGAATTTATTTATTTTTAATTGAAAGATAATTGCTTTACAACCTTGTGTTGTTTTCTGCCATATAGCAATGTGAATCAGCCATAGGTACACATATTTTTTGAAAGATTTTAAACTACAAATTTAACCTAAAACTATTCAGATTATCTATTTTCTTTTTGAGTGAGTTGTGGTACTTTTTGGTGTCTTTCAAGAAAGTGGTGTATTTCATTTTGTTGTTGACTTTATAAGCATAGAGTTTGTAGTATTCCATAATTATCCTTTTAATATGGGGTCAGTATTGATATCTCCTCTTTTATTTTTGATATTGATAATTTAAGCCTTTTGTCTTTTTTCCTTAGTCTGGCAATGAATTTATCAATTCAAATATCTTGTCAAAGAACTAGTTTTTAGCTTCATTGATTTTCTCTGTTGTTTTCAATTTTATTGATTTCTTCTATAATCTTTGCTATTTCCTTGATTTTATTTGCTTTGGTTTAATATACTCTTGTTTTCTACTTTCTTAAGGGAGCGTAGGTCATACTTTTAAACAAACTTTCCTAATATATTAATTAAATAGTATATAGTAAATATAAATTAAATATACATTTTGCTCTAAACTCTATTGTATCCCATGAGTTTTGATATAGTGCATCTTAATTTTGTTCAAATAATTTTTTATTTCATTTAAGACTTTCTCTTTGTCCCAAGAGTTATTTAGAAGCATGTTGACTAATATCCAAATGTTAAGGGATTTTCCAGATATCTTTCTATTATTTTATTCTCTATGGTTAAAGAATATGCCTTATAACATTATTTTCAATTTGTTTTTAATAGTCAGAATATGATCTGTCTTAATAAATGTTACATGTGCACTTGAGTAGAATATATATGCTGGAATTGTGGAGTTGAGTATTTTATAAATGTTAATTAAATTAAGTTAGTTGATTGTTGTTCAGGTCACTTGTGTTCTTACTGAATTTCTGCCTACTTATTATCTCAGTTAATGAGAAGGTAGTGTTGAAGTCTCCAACTGTAGTTATGCATTCATCTATATCTCATTTCAGATCTATTCTTTTTTCCCCTCATATAATTTGAAGTTCTTTTTCAAGGATATAAGGTTGTTAAGTCTTCTTGCAGATTTGACTGCTTTCATTATGTAATATTCCTTTTAATCTCTGATAATCTTATTTCTTTTGAAGTCTATTTTATCTGAAATTAATATAGTTACCTCATATTTAATTTGGTTTGTGTTTGCAAAGTATATCTTTCTCTAGTCTCTTACTTTTAACCCTTTTATCTCCTTATATTAAAAGTTAAGAGTTTCTTCTGACAGTGTATAGTTGAACATTGCTTTTTTAAAAATTCAGTCTGACTATATCTGCCTTTTAACTGTTGTATTTAGACCATTTCACATTTAAAGTAATTATTGATATGTTTGGATCATGATATATCATCTTACTAGCCATTTTCTGTTCATTCCATTTATTCTTTATTTCTTGTTTGTTCTTTTTCTGTGTTCTATCTGCTTAATTGAGCATTTTTATGATTCTATTTTTATCTCCTTTATTTACTTATCATTTACCTCTTTGTAAAATTTTCTGGTTGTTGCCTTGGGAATTAGAATGTACATTGTAAATGATCCAAGTCTGGATTCATATAATATACTACTTCCATGTAGCTGTAAGACCTTACATTTCCAATTTATCCCTTGCTTCCTTTTTGCTATTATCATCACATATTTTACTTTTACATATGCTACAAACATGTACTTCACTCTAACAATTTTTGGTTTAAACTGCCAATTTTGAGTATTAAGAATAAAATTGATTTTATTTTACTGTATTAGTTTCCTATGGTTGTCATAACAAATTAACCACCAGCCTGATGACTTGAAACAAAAGAAGAGTGTTCACTCACAATTCTGGAGGCTTAGAAGTCTGGAATCAAAATGTCGACAGAGCTATGCTCCCTCTGAACACACTAGAGGAGAAACCTCTCTTGACCCTTCCTGGTTCCTGGTGTCTCCTGGAAATCAGTGATGTTTCTTGGCTTGTTGCTGCATCACTTCAATCTTTGCCTCTCAAAACATGACCTTCTTTTCTGTGCGTGTCTCTGTGTGTCCTCTCCTTTTCTTGTAAAGACACTAGTCACAGAATTTAGGGTCCACTGTAATTCAGTATGACCTTATCTTAATTAACTTAAATACTTACACATTCAAGTGTAATTTGGAAATCAGGTCACCTTATTATTGGATGAGATGGTTGGATGGCATCACCGACTCAATGGATATGGGTTTGGGTGGACTCTGGGAGTTGGTGATGGACAGGGAGACCTGGCGTGCTGCGGTTCATGGGGTCGCAGACAGTCAGACACAACTGACCAACTGAACTGAACTGAACTGGTGGGATTTTCAGTAGACCTAAACTTGGGAGTGATATTATTTAACCCAGTACATTTGCCCTCACTTAATCCATTTCTAGTACTCTTTATTTCTTTGTATAGACCCAGTTTCTGACTTAGAGACATAATCTTTTTCCCTGAAGAACTTCATTAATCTTTCCATTAGAGTATGTCTTGGTAATTTCCCCCCTAAGTTGTTTTTTTTGGTCTGAAAAAATGTTTATTTTTCTTAATATTTGAAGTGTATTTCTGGGTTGACAATTTTTCTATTTTTTTAGGACTTTAAAGATGCCACACCATTGTCTTCTTCCTTGCATAGTTTCTGTTGAGAAGTCTGTTTTAATTCTTATTCCTGATACTCTGTCAGGTTGAGTTTTTTCCTCTAGCTAATCTTATTTGTCTTTCTTTGCAGAAGTTTGAATATAATATGCCTAGGGTTTTATTTTGTTTCATATGAATCCTGTTCTGTGTTCTCTGAAGGTCCGGATCCATCTTAAATTTTGGAAAATTTTCAGCCATTGTTTCTTAAAATATATATGTTTAACCTTTCCATTCTCTCTCTTCTTTCTGGGATTCTAATTATGTGTATGTTAGTTTCATATTATGCCCTATCTCTTGGGTGTTCCATTATTAAAAAAAATTTTTTTTTCTCCTTATGTTTTTGTTTGGGTAATTTCTGCTTGCTTATCTTGAAGTTTAAATTCTATCTTCACCTATGTGTCAAGTCTACAGATAAGCCTATTAAAGGGCATTCTTCATCATTGTTATTATGTTTTTATTTCTAAAATTTCTTTTTTTTATTTCTAGAATTTCTATTTTATATTTTCCTTTAGTTTCCACCTCTTTGCTAAAATTAACTGTCAGATTTTGTATATTATTTACCTTTTCCATTAAAATCTTAGCCTATTAATCATTGTTGTTTTAAGTTTCTTGTCCAATAGTTTTAATTTTGCTTTCATTTCTGAGTCTGGTCCTAATA